AGTAGGGGAAGTGGGAGGGGTAGGGGAAAGGAAAGAAGGGAAAAGAAAGAATATGAGAAAAGGAAAAACATGGAAACAAAGTCTTTGTAAATAGGGAAGGGTGGATGGGGTGAAGGGAGGGCAGGGGAATGGAGAAAAAATAAGAACCAAGATATATCATGTAAAGGTACAAGATACCAATGTTGAATGTAACTGTATTGTATACCTAAAATGTAAGAATAAACTAAATGGAAAAAAATAGTCTAAGGAAAATGTCAAAAAAAAAAAAAAAAGCATGGCATGATGGCCACCTTAAATAAGAGTTATAATAATGACAGTACAGCAGATATTACAGTGTACAGAAGATGAGTGGCAAATGAGCACATGAAAATAAGTTCATCATCATTAATCATTAGGGAAATCCAAATCAAAACCACAATGAGATACCATTCAAACCTGCCAGAATGGCTGAGCTTGTTTTTATTAGTACAGTATAGTTTGTGATGCATAGTGAATGCATTCATCATGGAGAATTGGTACATATACATGTTACATCTTAGTCCTTTTTATTTCCTCTTTCCCCTTCTCTCCCTTCCCTCTCCCTGTACCCTTAATACACTTTCCATCTGCAAAAGTCTGTGTTCATGTTTCCTATCATCTGTGTTTTATTTTGCTTCTTAAATTATTTAGACTTTGGGTTTCTCATATAAGAGAATTCATGATCATATCATATTTAACCTTTTGTGTCTTATTTATTTTGCTTAGCATTATGGTTTCAAGGTGCATCCATTTTCCTGTAAATGACTCAAATGTATGGTTTATGGCTAAGTAGTATTCCACTGTGCATATATACCACATTTTCTTCATTCGTTGGTTGATGGACATATAAGCCATTTTCAAGATTTAGCTATTGTGAATTGTGCTGCTATAAACATGTATATACATGTGTCAGTGTAATATGATGTCTTTAACACGTTTGGGAAGCTATCTAGACAGGTATAGCTGGGTTACCAACATTTGTTATTTCATTTCTTGATGATGGCCATTCTTTCTGGGGTAAGATGGAATCTCAGTGTTGTTTTAATTTGCATTTCTCTAATGGTCAGTGATGCTGAACATTTCTTCCTATACTTATTGGCTTCATGTACTTATTGGCTTCATGTACTTACTGTTTGTACTTCTGTGAAGTGTATTCATTTCACCTGGCCATTTTTTTTTTTTTTTTTTTTTGATACCGGGGATTGAACTCAGGTCCTTGCACTTTCGAGGCAAAGCAGCGGAACCACTAAGCTAAATCCCCAGCCCTCACATGCCCATTTTTTGATTTGGTTTTTTATTTTGAGGAATCTAATTTGAACTACAACCACATGAGTGAATATGAATCTCAAAGTAAAATTGTAAGGAAAGAAACAAGTCTGAAAAGAATATATACAATATGTTTTCATTTATATTTCGCTGAAATTAGGCAAAACATAACAGCATATGGAGACTATACAGTATAGTACAGTAAAACCATCATGCGGAACAAAGGTAATTTTAACATTTATTAACTCAAAATTCAGGCTAGTGGTGAATCTTGGTGGTAGGGTTGTGGTGAAGGAGCAGGGGAAATGTAAACAGCACTGCACATACACACAGGACTCCCCAAAGCCAAACCCAATACTATAATCAAATACCAAGCTGATATATCTTGTTATATTAGTTATCACTGCATAACAAATTATCTCAAAACTTTCAAATTACACAGTAATAAACATTGCCATGCAGTCTGTGCAGGGGTCAGGAATTTGGGAGCAGCTAAGGCAGGGTGGTTTGGACTGGTGTGTCATGAGGTTGCAGTCAGGATTAACTGGGGCTGAAGGATCTATTCCATGATCTATTCACATGACTTGCAGGAAGCCTTGTTCCTTGCTGGTTGTGGAAGAGGCCTCAGTTCTTTACCTCATATCCTCATATTATGGTTGCCAGCTTCCTTTCTGAGATATAATGAGATGGAAGCTGCAGTTTCTTAACCCAGCCTTTGAAGTTTCACTTGCCCTTATAGCAGTACTGTAGTGTTCACATATGCCAGCCCTGTTCAGTGTGGAAGGGACTGATGAGGGAGCGCATGAATACCATGAGGCTGGACTGTGGAGGCTGTCTTGGAGGCTGGCTAACATGGTTATGCATTGTAAAATATATTTAACAATAGAAACGTTTAGAGACAATCTAAATAGAAAAGCTCACCTTTCTATAGTAATGATACAGACATCCATTTAAATGAAAATATTAATGCAAATACTGAATGTGTTACCAGTCGATATGAGGTGGAAGGGATGTCAGTGATGTAACACTGGGTACCTGGGGAGCAGGAGCCTGCCAGACAGGACTGTCTTGAGGCAGGCCAGTGAGTTAATGAGCCTCAGTATTGCTTTACTAAGATATGTAATGTGGAGTTGGGATAATATCTGCCTAGACTTCATTGTCCCTGTACCTAAATATGGCAAAAATCTGGGACTCCTGATTTTGAAAAGAATTGTCCAGAACAAGGGCCACTGTGATGTTAAAATTTCCTGCCAGCCCCACACTTTCTTCCATGATTATGTTTAATGAGAATGGATTTCACTCTTTTCTCCCCACCCCCACACCTAAGGGCAAAGCTAGAAATGTCCTAGGCAAGTTAAGGATCAGACATTAGCTTAAAAATTGAGGCAGTTATTACATTGTACTCCATAACTTATTTTGTTTCATGTGAACAACTTGTAAATTATTAATTCATTTGCTTAACTTTCCCTCACCAAACTCTGTAAGTAAGATTGATGTTTCTGGGAAGTACGTCATGTGTTTTCCTCCTCGTTTTAAGTAGCTGTAGGCATACCTGTTTGGTGAGTATTCCTAGGGACCCAAGTGGCCCAGTTTATGAGGCAGTGTGTCACACTGTCTATCCTTTGTGGAGTCCAGCCTCCTTGGAACAGGTGTTCCAACCTTCAGGTGAGGAAGCCTCTCCAGGGCTCTCACTTTTTAATCAAGTTAATGAGTAGAGCAGAGAGGATTTGAGGCCAGGTGCTGAGGCTCCTAGACTGGCTTTCCTCAAGGTTTTGTTTGCCAGCACTTGCACATGTTAAGCATCCATACCTCTAAACCTCTTTGGCCATCATGTGGAGCCAACTGCATTCTCCCCTGTAGTGTTGCTGCTGCTTTCATATGTATTTGTGGAGCTTATACCTATGCCATTATATCATATTTTATTTTTGTATTTTATAAAATGAAAGAATTCAACAGCAAGAGATAACTGTCTGATTATGGCAAAGATAAAAATCTTGGCAGGGGTACAGTGTGGTGCTTGTTTGTTGTGTTGTTGTTGACTTTACTTGGGCAACAGTGTTCTTTTGAGAAAGAAGGGAGAAACATGGGGGGGCAATATGCCAAATTAAGGGTTATTGTATGTGCAAGGGAAGTGTAATTACTAGTAGTAATTATAATAATTGGTAATGATGATAGTATTAACTGTACTGTTAAGAATGATCATGAATGTGTACTCTCAGGGAGTAAACTGTACTGCCCACCTGTGTCCCTCTCATATGAATGTGTTGTTTGGCCTTTTGGCTTTGGGGTTGGTTTTCAGGAGGGCATCATGTCTGTGAGGGGGATGAGGAGGGACATCTGTGTAATGAGACAAACCCTGACCCTGGGGTCAGAAGTTGAATATCCTTGTCATACATCATTTTTGACACTTAGCTACCTTCCTTAGAATATTGGCTCAGCTTACCTCACAGGGCTATGGGGAGGATCAAATGTACTTGATAACACCAGAGCAGAAAGTATGGTGGTATCAGTACAAATATGACTTCCTGGCCACGATGCCACTTGTGTAATGTGTAGTATACTAGATCTGGCTACCTTTGCTTAAAAGGCTGTGAGGAGGTGTAATAGTTTCAGAAAGGTTATGTGAGTGTGTGTTATTTACTTTTCTCTCCTTGTTGAGACAAAACACCCAACACCCAGAGTTAAAGAGGAAAAGGTTTATTTGGTTTACAGTTTGTAGAGGTTTTAGTCCATAATTGGCGGGCTCCAAGGCAGGGTGATGGGCACAACAGTTCATGGCGGCGAAAGACAGTAAAAGCAGCAAGAGACTTTAACAACATCTTTCTGCCCATTTTATCCAGACTACCAGGATTAGGGTGGTGCCAGACTAATCACTCATGTGGTTTAGTAATCACACGCCCATAATCCCAACATTACACAATCTAGATTCAGCCACCTCAGAAAAAGCATGAGGCTTTGGAGGGACGTCTAAACACAAGCCAGCCATCACATCTCAGCCTTTTGGCTAAGATCAAGTGTAAACACAAGGCTTAATAGAGTGTATGTGGCTGCCTTCTGTATGTGGTCTCAGAAGTCCAAGGTCAGAGGCTAGCACAGGTTCTTGTCCCTCCTGAGTGGATGTTTGGGCTATATCAGTGCTTTGAAATTGCCATGAACTAAGAGAAACTCACTGAGGTAAATGTTGTGTTCTGAGGTGAAGTCCTAATGCACAGAAGAGCTAAAGTATGGTGTGATGACTGTAGTTAGGACTTGGGTTGTGTATTTGACATTTGCTAAGATGGAGGATCTCAGGTGGTCACACCACAAGAAAGAAGGCACTGTAATTGTGAGGAGATCATTATGTTAATTAGCTTGATTGTGTTGATTGTTTCACAGTGTTTACATATATCAAAACATTGCATTGTGAATATCCTAAGTATGTGTAGTGTTTGTCTGTCATACCTCAATAAAGCTGGGAAAAAGGAAAAAAAAAACTTTCTGAGAAATTCTTTTGTTCCAGAAGTTCCTAGAGTAGGTGGGGCTGACAGTTGCTTCCCATATTTTTTCTCTTTTCACTTTATGTGGGAAAATTATGATCATTTTTTTTCTCTTTTCACTTTTCAGTATTTTAATCTAGAGGCTTGCCATATATTAAGTACATTTTATCAACCAAAGTATCATTAACTAAGTAAAAATCCTTGGTAATAAATAACCTGTTGTTTTGCTTCTTCCTGCAGGGTGAAGGCAGCATGAGTGATCCCTGAATGTGCCCTTGGGCATACTTAGCAATTCATTTTTGATTAGGAGAAAGAAGACAGCCATTCATTTGAAAGTGAGTATAAAAATTTGCGTGCAGCTTTGTATTTTAAAAAATTTTAAACATAGAAAAGTTACAAAAAGCTGCTGGGCATGGTGGTGCATGCCTGTAACCAGCACTTGGGAAGCTGAGTTAGGAGGATCACCTCTAGTTCCAGACTAACCTGGGATATAAAGTAAGTTCAAGGCCAGCCTGAAATACATAGGGAAACCTTGTCTCAAAAAAACCAAGCAAACAATGAAACAAAACAAAACAACACAAAGGAACAAAAAAAGAAAAGAAGGAACAGTAAATTCCTGTGTGTTTATAAAATGGAGTACTACTCAGCCATAAAGAATGAAAAACTAGAGTCATTTATATCTAAATGGATGCATATCGAGGCCTACTCTTAACTGAAATAAATAGGACACACATGGGTAAATACCAAATGGTTTCTCTAGTGTGAGAAACTGATAGTATAAATAAGGGTTAAAATGATTAAAATGAATAATTGATAATTTGAAATAGGAAAAAAGGTCCAAAGATGTAGGGCTGAAGGGAGGGAAAGGGGAAAGGAAAAATTATGAGAAAAGAAAAAAAAAAATGGAAATGATGTCTATGTAAATAGGGAAGGGCGCACAGGTAATGGGGAAAAAAATAGGAATCAAGATACATCATTTACAGGTACAAACACCCAATGATAGATGTAAACGAATTGTATACCTAAAATATACCAATAAAAGAACTTAAGGAAAAATAAATAAATTCCTGTGTATCCACTACCTAGCTTTAATAGTTGTTAGCATTTTGCCACATTTTGTTTGTGTGTAGGTTTGTACTTTTTGCTGAAGTACGTGAAAGTTGCAGACATCATGGCATTTTTCTCCTAAATTTGGGGGAGATACAGTTCCTAACAATAATATTCTCTCTTGAAAGACATTTCAGGACATTCATAAGCTATGACACACAATTATTATAAACAGTTTCCTGTTAAAGGGTACAACTTTGAGCTATGCTCCCTTCATAGGTAACAAAAATAGAGCCAGATTTTTTATTTGTTTAATTGCTTTTTTGGTACCGGGGATCGAACTTAAGTCTTTGTGCTTGTGAGGCAGACGGTGGAACCACTGAGCTAAATCCCTGGCCCATCAGATTTTTAAAACTGTAAACAAAAATTGAAGTAATGGCAGATAGGCATTATGAATTGGATATGAAAACCATCTGAATGTAAAGGTATGAAATTTGCCCTGAGAGAAGGATTATTGTGCTTTCTTGTTTCTTGTAATTTGCCTGTCTGTTCCCTGTTGCTGACATTTTACTTTGAGTCAGTGGGTCTGATTACTGCCTTTATCCTAGTCCTGGTTGACATTGATTAAGTAGGCCAGTCTCTGTGATCTAACATGATCAAATGTCTCAACTATTTTTTTTTTTAATTTAAACTTGCAGAACAATGTGGAAAGATTGGCAATGCGAAGTTGAGGTTAATATATTAAAATTAATATTAGGGAGATTAAAAATGCTTTGTAACTCTGTAATGACTACCTGCATTGCAAGTTTGCATAAAATTTAGCAGATGTGCTTGGCTATGATTTTTTTTTTCATTAAGTTTATTAGTACATTTTATGTATACAATATAATGACATTCATCATTGGGAATTTGTACCTTTACATGATATATCTTGGTTCTTATTTTTTCCCCACTCCCCTGCCCTCCCTTGAACCCTTCTATCCCTCCCTATTTACAAAGACTTTGTTTTTATTTTTTTCTTTTCTCATATTTTTTCCTTTCCCCTACTCCTCCTACTTCCTTCTCCCCTTTAAACCTTTTCTTCCTGTTTTACGTTATCTATTATACATTTTGAACTTTATTTACACTCTCAGTTTCTCACACCAGTGAAACTATTCAGTATTTACACATGTATGTCCTATTTATGTCACTTAAGAATATGGCCTCAATGTGCATCCACTTAGCTATAAATGACTCTAGTTTCTTATTCTTTATGGCTAAGTAGTACTCCATTTTATAAAAAACGAAACAAAACACATGTTCTTTATCCAGTCTCCAGTTGATGGGTAATTGGGCTCTTTCCAAGTTTTAGCTATTATAAACTATGCTGCTATAAACATGGGTGGGCATATGTTGCTGTGGTGTAATTCTTTTAATTCTTTTGGGAAGATACCCAGCAGGGAAATAGCTGGGTCAAATCAGACCTTTAATCCTCATTTTTTGAGGTATCTCCATATTTATCGGCACAGTGGTTGTACCAGTCTGCACTCCCACCAACAATGGAGAAGGGTTCCTTTCTTCCCACATCCCCACCAGCATTTGTTATTGGTTGATTTCTTGATAGTAGTAATTCTTTCTTGAATGAGATGGAATCTCAGTGTTGTTTTCATTTGCCTCTCTCGAATGACCAGTGATGTTGAACATTTTTTCATATGTTTATTTGCTATTTCTACTTCTTTGTCTGAAAAATGTCTGTTCATTTCAGATACCCGATTTTGGATTGGGTCTTTAAATTTGGGAGGGTCTGATTTTTTTAAGTTCTTTATATATTCTAGATAGTAGTCCTTTGTCTGAAGAACAGCTAGTAACAATTTTTTCCCACATTGTAGGTTGTCTCTTACCTCTGTTGGTGGCTTCTCTTGCAGTCAGAAGCTTTTTAATAGGATGAGATCCCAGTTGTTGATTCTCTGTGCTAGTTCCCGCGCTATTGAGGTTTTGTTCATATAGTCTAGGAATGCCAGTGTCTTCAAGAGTCCTACCTAACTTATCTTCCAGCAAGTTTAGTGTTTCTGTTTTAATATTTAGATCTTTGATTCACTTCGGTTTTAGTTTAGTGCATAGTGAAAGATATGGGTCTAGTTTTAATCTGTAGCAGGTTGAAATTCAGTTTTTTCAGCACCACTTATTAAAGAGCCTATCTTTCCTCCAGTGAAGATGGTTGGCTCCTTTGTCAAAGATGAGGTGGCTGAGTATGTCTGGAATTGTGTCTGCATCTTATAATGTACCACTGATCCTCGAGTCTATTCCTTTGCCAGTACCATGCTGGTTTTTTCACCGTGGCTTTGTAGTATAGTTTCATGCTGGGGATTGTGATACCCCATCATGTCTTTATTGCCTAGAATTGCCTTTGCTATTCTAGGTCTCTTCTTGTTCCAAATGAATTTATGGATTGTTTTTTTTAGTTCTGTGAAATATACTTTTGGGATTTCAATCAGGATTGTATTGCATCTATATAGTAGTTTTGGAAGTATGGCCATTTTTACTATATTGGTTCTTCCTACCCAGGGGCAAGTCTTTCCATTTTCTGATATCCTCTTCTGTCTCTCTCTTCAGAGTGCTGTAGTTTTCAGTAGTGCTTTCTTTTACTTCCTTTGTTAGATTGATTGTAGATATTTCATTTTTTTGGATGCTATTGTGAAAGGAATTGTTTCCCCAACTTCTCTCTGTGAGTTTGTGTATGAGAAGGCTATTGATTTTTGAGTGTTGACCTTGTATCCAGCTACCCTACTGAATCTGTCAATTAAGTCTAGAAGGTTTTTAGCGAGTTTTTTAGGTCTTCTGTGTAAAGTATCATGTCATTAGCAAAGAATAACAGTTTAACCTCTTCCTTTCCTATCTTTATCCCTTTTCTTTCTCTTTTCCAATTTCTTTAGCTAATGTTTCCAAAAGTATATTGAACAGGAGTGGTGATAGTGGACATCCTTGTCTTGTTCCTGATTTTAGCATGAAAGCTTTCAGTTTTTGACCATTTAGTGTGATACTGGCTGTTGGTTTTTCATAGAGAGGCTTTATCAGATTGAGATAAAGACCTTCTAGTCCAATTTTCTGTAGGGCTTTTATCATGAATGGGTGTTGGATTTTGTAGAATGCTTTTTCTGCATCTGTTGATGATCATATGATTTTTTTCCTTGAGTCTGTTAATATACTGTATTACATTTATTGATTTACGTATGTTGAACCATCCTTGCATCCCTGGGATGAATCCGACTTGGTCAGGGTGTATGATCTTCTTGATGATCCTCTGTATTCTGTTTGCCAGTATTTTATTGAGAATTTTTGCATCTATGTTCATTGGGGAGATTGGCCTGTAGTTTTCTTTTTTGGTTGGGTCTTTCTCTGCTTTTGGAATCAGAGTAATGCTTCCTTCCAGGAATGAGTTTGGGAGTATTACTTCCCTTTCAATTTCATCAAAGATTTTGAGAAGTAGTGACATTAGCTCTTCTCTAAATTTCTTGTAGAATTCAACAGTGAAGCCATCAGGACCTGGGCTTTTCCTTTTTGGTAAGTTTTTAATTATGTTTTCAATTTCACTGATTGAAATTGGGGTGTTTTGAATTTTTAGGTCTTCTTTGTTCACCTTTGGCAATTCATATGTATCTAGAAATCTGACCATTTCTTCTGTTTTCTCCATTTTATTGGAGTACAGGTTCTTGAAGTAGTTATTGATGATCCTGTGGATTTCTGCTGGATCTGTTGTGATTTCACCCCTTTCATTCCTAATTGCATGGATTTGAGCCTTTTCTTTCCTTTTTTCTGATAAGGTTGGCTAAGGGTTTCTCAGTTTTATTTATTCTTTCAAAGAATCAACTCTTGGATTCATTGATTTTTTTGTATCATTCTTAGTCTCCATTTGATTTCTGCTCTGATCTTTAAAATTTTCCCCCTTGTGTGAGCTTTGGGTTTGTCTTGCCCTTCTGTTTTTAGGACCTTGAGGTTCAGCATTAGACTGTTTATTTGAGCTTGCTCTGTTTTCCTATTATGGGTAGTTACTGCTATGAATTTTCCTCATAGAACTGCTTTTATTATATCCTGTAGGTTCCTGTATGTTATATTGGCCTTATCACTTATTGTAGAAACTGTCTAATTTCTTCTTTAATTTCCTCTGTGAACCTGGCTATGATTATGATTGTAGATCATTATACATTATTGTCAGGATCAGTTATCTGTGGTTCTTGCAGGGTAGCTGTGGACTGTTCTGTATTCCAGTCTCAAGGTACCTTTTGTCTAAGTATTTCTTTATAGATATTTATGAACTAGGGCTGTCCATTTTGAGCATAATTTAAAATAAGTCTATTTAAGTGTGTCATTTATGACAGTGGTGGCTTCTTAAACTGCTGTTTTTGAGATTTGAACAAAAGCTTATTGATGGCAGTAAAGGTTCTTTGAAAGATATATTCAGAATGAGCTATGTCTAGTCATAGGACTCTTGGAATGATCTAGGTTGCTTTTCATTCTTTGCTGTACATATAGTTGTTCTTGGAAAAGGAAAGTAAGTGGCAAAGGGTCCTGAGGCAAAGGGGCTTTTAAGGATGGGTTAAGGGAAGATATTTTTGAGCCTAGTGTGTTCAGGATTATTTAAATAGGGAGTAATTTTTTAAAACTTTCTAAAGAAGTAGAACAAACCTACAGAAAATCCACATTTTATAAATGTATTCCTTAATTTAATCTCACAAACTGAATACACCCATGTAATCAGCACCTAGGTTAACAAACAGCATTGTCTACACAACTTCATCTCTCCTTCTATACACTGTTCTGCTTTCTGCATGGAAACTACAGGCATAAATTGGTTTTGCCTGTGTTTCTTTCATGTGTGAATGTGTGTGTATACAATATATAATGCAGATTGTATTTTGTGTCTCTGGCTTTTCTCATTCAACAGTGTATTAGAGAGGTTCCTCCCTATTATTGTATATAGTTATAGATTGTTTATTAGTATTGCTATAAAGCATTCCATGAGAATATTACAATTTAGTTAATCTGTAGATGCAAGTAATTTTGGGGAGTTTACCCATCATGGGTATTCATATTTATATTGCCCAGCTTCTGCAATATGAAGAAGTCCTAACATCTGGTAGAAGATGGGGACACACACAGGAGATGTGTATGTGGTTTCTTCAGTCCTATAAGGAGTCCTGCTGCTCTCCCTGTGACTCATTTTGACCCTTTTTACTTTGTTCCTTGCTGATACTTGTCTTCTATGTCCTGCTCTGCCATTGTTATTCTCTGTATAGCCTTGTGGGGGAGACTATTTTAGAAAAGATCAAACAGCAGGAAATCAATGAATATTTAAACTTCATTAGGTGTTGATAATAGGTGTTAGATGAAAGAGCAAAGAGTTAGAAGTTATGGGGTTGGACTTAAGGAGCCTGTGTTGTGGTTATGGATATGGTCCACTTCTCTGGGAACCAATTATACTACAGAATTCACAGATGTAAATTTCCTGTAATCTGCCTTCCCTCTATGGGTGATGTTTTAGATTGGCCCAGTAGATCTGATTAGCCACCTTTATCCTTGTACTGACTAGCATTCATACCAGCATGGGCCAGGCTGGTAACAGGACTGAAATTAGGAGGAAGTGATGGGCATTGTGGAGATTGACCCAGCAAAACATGTCTGGCTGAATTTGGCAAGTCAACCAATTTCTCATCTTTAGGGAATAGAGAGTTCAGTATAAGAAAGTGTTTTCTGTAGGATTTGGATATTATCATGACCAAAATCTGTTGTTGTAAATAAAGTTTTATTCAAATAATCATGCTCATTTGTTTACCTATTGTATTATAACAGTAGAGTTGAATAGTTGTCAAAGAGACCAGGATTGAGTAATTGCAATGTGACTATATAGTCCACAAACTCAAAAATATTTACCATATGGTCCTTTACAAAAAAGTTTGCCAACTCTTGTTTTACTTTGTAAAAGAAAGGGGATAATAGTGATAACCTCCATACTCATAATAATCTGAGCCCATTATATAAATTTCTGTTAATGCCTCCATCCATCCGTCCACTCACTCACCCACTCATCTATCCTTCCGTCTAGCTATGTATGCATCCATCCGTTTAGAGTGGTTGTTATATTTTAGGCATAAAATGATGATAATCAGATAAGGTTTTTGCTGTTATGAGTTAATGAGGTTTATATGATTCTGAATTCCATTGTAAGATTATTTTTATGTGTGAATGAAAACAAAAATATAATATGGAAATAGAATTACCAATTCCTAATTTAAAGCTAATGTTTCAGCTATCTTTATTAGTTTTATAAATTAAGTAAACACTTATTCTTCATAATCTAATGGTTACTTTAGTTATGAGGAGTATGTGGTGACATATACATCAATTATTACAGTCTTACAAGTCCTTATTGTTTACATGTGGCAACCCTAGACTGTTTGAGGGCAGCTTTGTTTGGAGAAGGGCTGAGGAGCTTTTAAAGTGCCTTATCAAAGCAAGCCAAGTAGACCTGTAACCTTTTACTACTTTAGTAATAAATAATAAATGTCAATAGAAAGAACAGCAAAATAGTAAAGTTTGGAATGTCTTGTAGCAAATAAATCCATCTCTGTGTGCTTATCTGTTTTCTTACTCAAGATCATAAAGTACTCTTTCTGCTCAATAGGAGTCCACAGAAGGCATTTTAATGAACACAGAAAACATAGAAACATTTTTTTATATTTCTCTAAGGAGTTGGATTTTAAACATCTTTTTGACCCAGTTATCATTTTTATATGTGTTCATATGTATTTCATGGATAGATACTTTGGGTGAATAACCATTTCTTACCCTGAGACTACTGTCAGACCACCCACAGGAAGCACAGTCAGATCCTATTGAGGCATCATTAGCTACAAAGGCTGTTTTCCTCAACCCAAGAGGTGTTTTAGGCAGTGAGACTGGACATTTAATTGGATATTGTAGTTGCAATTATTCAGTTGTGTTCAGTAATTCAAAGCTGTGAAAATGCATGAAGCCCTGTATGCACATCACTTTAGGAACAATCAGACATGAATGCTATCTGCTGTCTTTTGAGGCAATGATTGTGATGACTGGTAGTGCTTTACTCTGAAATCTTAGACTTCTGAAGGAAATGTAGAGGAGTGTTAGCTGGTGGAATGAATATTTTAATGGATGTGACTAAAACTCCAAACTGGTTGATTTTATTGCCCAACTTGATAAATAAAGTTTATTGTAGTTAATCTTCTGTAGGAGAAAGAAATGACACGTTGCTATGTTTCAAATATTGTTTATCCCCAGTATAGTTTGAGTTTAGATGTCCTCCCAAAGCCTCATGCAGAGGAGGTGGGACTTTCTTTTTCAGGGGTAGTTGAATCTGGAATGTGTGATGCTGGAGTTAAGGGTGAGTGATTAGTCTGGCACCACCCAAATCCCAGTAGTGTGAATAAGATAAAGGGAGCAGAAAGATGCTGTTAAACTCTGTTGTTACCTTTGCTGCCTTGTGTGCACCATGTTGTTTCTGCTCTGCCATGCCTGTTTGCCTTGAAGTCGGCCAATTATGGACTGAAACTTCTAAATGTAAGCCAAATAAACCCCTTCCCTTTTAACTTTGGGTGTCCGATATTTTGTCCCAGCAACGAGAGAAAAGTAACTAACATATCCCTCAAAGGTTTATGTGCTAGCAACTTGGTCCTCGGCATGACTGTTGAGAGGTGTGGGATGTTTAAGAGGTGGGGCCTAATGTATGGTGACTAGGTCAATGGGGGTGCAGTCCTCAGGGATTAATGTGGTTCTTTAACACCTGCAGTTAGTTCCGTGGGTTGTTGAAGGGAGCCTGGCTCCTGAATCCATCTTTTGCATGTGCCATTTACACTTTTGCATGTTCCCTCATCACTGTAATGCCATCCTCCATGAGGTCCTCACTAGAGCTGAGCAAATGTTGGTGCTATGCTCTGGAGTCATGCTTTTGAACCTCAGAACTATGAGCTAGATAAACCTCTTTACAAATCACCCACTATCATGTTATAGCAATAGAAGATGGACTAATATGTTATCTTTTCATATCATTTTGATATGATTTAAAATGGTTTAAAAGTTTAAAGTTGTTTTTTTGGGGCAGTGTTGGTGACTGAACCCACACCTTGTATATATATAGGCAGGTGTTCTACCAATGAGCTATACTCTGTCCCCATTTTAGTATTTATATTGGCTTAGATATAGAGGAAAGCTTGACAGTTGAGGAAATAAATATCACAGTTATTTTTCTTTATAAAACTAGAAGCTGCAGGCTTAACTCCTTTGGTTAAAAATAAAGTTTTCCTGAAGCAAATTTGATGATAAGCAAAATCATTTGTGGTCTGGCATTAGAAAAAGTAGTTTTTCTTTTCTATATAATATATGAAGTTACCCTGTCAAGAACTCTAGCTGCAGGAGTGTTGATTTTTCATGGCCATCTAATTAAAATTTACTTAACCAGCCTCTCAAGCTTTATTTTCAGAAAGGGGAAAGTACTGAAGTGCAGATAAATATAGCTTGATAGAGCAAAA